CCCGTCCCCCCCACCCCTTTTTTTATTTGTATTTTTTCTGTTCTTTTACGTTTAGATAAATCTTGAATATGATGAATGCAAGTCGGATGTATTACAATGTAAATGTTGACTGGTATTTGTTGGTTATATTATCAACAAAAATAACTTCAGAAATTTACTTTTCCTTTTATCATCTAGAGTTGCATTTCGTCAGGCTCTAATCGATTAGCTGGTAGAAAGTGAGCAGTCATACCACATGCAGGATGCAGAGTTTGTGAAGTTTCAGGGTCCCACTCTGAAACATCAGCCAAAGGAGTCTGATCAATGGTCTAACACCTATGAATCTTAGAATTATTTTTGGCAAAAGGAGGAAAGATCTGGAAAAAGCAAATGCTTCTTTGGTTCCCCATTTATGCGTTTTGAAAGGTGCTTTGCTTCAGTGCATCTGAGCATTGTAGCACCAGGTATCCATCCTAATTTCAATTTTGCTTCTGTGCCATTTGCGATGGAGAGTTGATAGGTTTCAGGAGTACCAAAAGTAATTTGTTTTAATAAAGCAAATGAACCTCCACTATGGATGCTGATGAGGGAAAAGTACATTTTAAATTTTAAAACACTAGGCAGGACTCTTCTTACCAACAAAAAATAGATCTTCTGAACCACAAAAATGGTGTTAAGTCAGTCAACGTTATTCCCTGGCAAGCAATGTGAGGAGTAAAAGCCACAACCAATACAACCACATGATGTTACAAAAGCACTCACAACTGTATTCCCATAGCAAACAAATACATAACTATATGAAAATTACAAACAATTAGTGAGGTACAATTTCATGATTTGATATTCAAGCAAATAAAGAATCATACTGACTGAATATGGACAAGTATTTCTAGTATAAAACTGTGGATGCTCCAAATATGAGAGCGTTATAGTCAAAGGGAAAATAATGGTGAAACTTCCAGCAAAATTTTCAAACCAACATGTTACCGATTCGATACCGAATAAATATAGACACAGGCAATTGGGTGAAATCATAGTAATTTGACCATTCCAGTCGTGGCAGTTACCTCTGGACGCATGTACAATCTACTTAAGAAGGTGGTGGGGACAAAAACTGATTTCCAGAAGTCCTAAAACAAATTGAAAGTTTAGTTTAAGCAGGCAGCTTATCATTTTTTTTTTCAAAAAAAAAAATGCTCGAACTTTCTAAGTTAAGATTGACATGACTAGTGTGAATTTAAACTTACCTAACTTCCAGTCCTGATCTTCCAACAAGGCTATCAGGTATGCTGCCAGTCAGATTGTTGTTTTGCAAGAATCTACAAGACACAAAGAACTAAGTCAGGTACAGAGAGTCAAATCAGGCTTTCACATTGACTAACCAGTAAAACAATACTTATGGAGAGAAACACTTAAGTTACATACATATGCCTTGTTATTGGCAGCATTAATGAAAACTAGACATGGGAGTTGAATCTCACCACTTTATACATTTTCTCAGGCCTCAACACTTGGCTTTTGTAAATCTAATAGTTATATGATAGAGAAGGATAGTGAGTTTATAATGTTTAAGCTACTAAATTTGTACATATAGTAAAGTTTCCACATGATATTGCATTGGAAGGTTGAAGTAATTGGGAAACTAGCTAGCCAGAGGACATGTTTCGGCTTTCTATGCTGCATAGCAATATTGACAAAATTTTGAACTCTAATCAGAACATCAAATAAGTTGACCAGTCTGCCATAGTTCCAACGAGATGGTTTTAAAATCTCAAGTTCAGAAAAAAGAGGTTTAGTGTACATTTGAAGCCGCTATTAACAACTACCGAGCAACAGTTGCGATACAATAATGGAAGCGTGAATGGGTAAATAAAAGAAAAAAAGAAATATAGATCAGAATTTCATACTGCATACAACCACAGATATTAAGCACACGCATGAAGGACCACAAACTATATGAAATAGTAGCTGTTGTCTCCAGTAAATTCGATGGATCACATGTCAATCCTATAAAACTCATGCAATTTATGGCTCTATGAACAAGCATATCTTTGAGGTCATGTCATTCTCTATCAAATGCAGGTAAGAAACCATGTGCGATAGACCAAGTACATGGGTCCAATAACGATAAGCTCAGAGGTCAGGTACATGGCAAGTCCATCAAAAAGGATGATAAGACACGTAAACTGTTGAGCCCAAAAGTTCCTACTACATTCATCTTCCACTGTTCAATGATGCAAAGTAAAAATTACACTAGGTAAGACAGTGTCAATCTGATAAAGTTACAGCGTGCTGCATCTACTCTCTCAAATACATACAAACAAATTTCTTTAATCCAAATTTCTCAGACGACTTGAATATAACAGTTTAGCCAATATCCTCCAGAGATATTTATTTGTTTTATTCCTTCTTCTCCAACTAAAAGTTTTATTGTAAAGTATACGCGCAAGATTTCAGTATCAGCTTATTTTCTCATCTCTGATTTCAGGAAATCATTTTACACACCCTTCTTTTCTAATATCATCTTAGACGTAAAATCCATTATATTTGGCCTATATTTAAAATAAGACTAGGTCATTACATTTCCCTGAACTAAAATTCTAAAAATGATTAATTGGTTTCAAGTGGGAACAAAATTCTTTTAAGCAGGTTTTAGATCTGTTCAATGCTAAGACCAAACATATGATGATCTGAAACTTCAACGCTATCATTCTGCTAAACACTGCACTAAAAGAATCCAAGGTTTCAATGCTGCAGGACACTAAATGAAGGCACCTTATTATCTATATGATTATAAAAATAAAAAATGAAACTCAATCTACTAAAAGTTGGGATGATGAAATGACGCAAGCTAACAACACTTAAATGGACACATCTTGATCTGGATAACATGGATGTCTGCCATAAAATATACCATTGGAAAGATAAATATCATCTTCATTCTTCTTTTAGAAGGAGTGTCCCCTCCACCCATAATTACTTTTTGCTACTAGCATCCAGCTATGATGCACAAGGTGCTGAGACCAGAAACAATCTACAAATAATAGCCTCAAAAAATCACTTGCATCAAGCCTTTTACTGCTATGATGCTTTCATTATTGAAAAGCATCATTTTCTGTACTCTCCCTACACTTCGCAAGCCTTAAAGCTGTTCATTGGGATACTTTTGAATCAGAAAAGAGCAAAAGAAAGAAAATGTTTCGTAAAACTTTTCAAGAATAAATTAATAAAGTTAGAGTAGTTTAACTCAATGGGATGATCTCCCTATACAAGGTTTGAAGACAAACAGAAATTTATTTGGGTATTGCATTATGGCTTAAAGGATAGCAACAACTCTAAAACAGTTTTACGATGCAAAAAATGTCCAAAAGTAGAAATCTACAGATCTTTTAGCTCTTATGGTCAATGTAATCCAACCAATTCTTATTGTAACAAGACCAAAGCTAAGACACATTCGCTTCCCAGCATTGATGCTTTAAGACATGTTCAGCACCAACATATGGTTATCAATTTGCATTTTACATGATTAATTTAGCCACCAAGTACCAGTGCTTGACAAGTTGAAAGTTTTTGCCATAACTTTATTAATTCTTGTTCTGTTAGCATCTGTATACCAAAATAAGTTCCATATAACCAAAATTGTACACATTAAACTCAACACATTTCACATTCACTTGAATATTTAGGTAACTAGTCTGGACCTGGACCAGAAACTCAAACTTAAATTTTGCAATAGCAAACTACTACTGATTCTTTCTTTCTTTTACTAACAAGTCGGCAAACAGATGTCCATTTAACTCTCCTCATTTTAACCAAATTCTGATCTAATTCTGTCATAGAATTGCAGATTAAGGTTCTAAACCACTTTTGATTAAGTCAACATATGTACATGGAATATAGTTCTTCATCTGCTAGAGTACTCCATTGATGGTAATGTTTGTTATACCATATACCTAGAGAGAATGACATATATGCATCTAAATGAGGCGAGACCCAAATATATATATATATGACTATACAAGAGATTAGGTAGACAGCAATGACTATCCACGGTATGTAATAATTACATGATGAGGACATACCTCTTAATGAACTAATGAGAAAGATGACCAAAATGCCTGAAGCAAATCTGATTAAAAAAAGGATCTCTATAGTCCAAGACCTTTTAAAAGCCAACAAACACCTCGATAAATTGATAAAGATACCTCCTAAAGTTCTCAAGTACTTTTTTTCGTGCTCATTATGCTTGTTCAAAATTATAACAAGAAGCAAACAGGAAGCCAAAAACCTCATGGCTGAATGATATAAAAACAAAATGGTTATGAGTGACAGGAACATACAGAATCTTAAAGAGATAGAGGACTTCATTTCATTATGAACTAAAACTGGATGATTATAATACTTTTAACAAACTAGTACATGTAAATACTTGTTTTTTATTTATTTTCAAATAACAATTGTATTAAATTAAAACAGTTTTAAAGAATAAAGTTTGATATATAAATAATCAAAATTTTGTAATATTAATCTATAAATTATTCAATACTATTAGAATTAAGAAAAATATTTTTGGTGAAAGTCATTCAATGCAAATAAAATCCTTAGTTACAAATTGAGTAAATATTTTCAATTGATATTTATAATAAAAATATTTAAAATGATAATTTAAAATATAATGAACAAATAATGGTCAATCAAAAGTTTTACCAACATTCGTACATATATATAGAAATATATATATTTCAGATAATTTAAATAGAATATGAATTAATTTAACATCTAACCTAATTACTGAATACTGATAAATTGTTAATGAATTAGCCACACTAAAAGTAGTTTTAATGAATTAAAACTTGATTAAAAACTTGAAAAAAGACATCTGTGTTATAGAGGTAAGAATCATCACTGATAGGCTTCAGGCATGACAGAGTTAATATACTGAGTGCAACTTAATGACAATTGCCAAGAAGTATAAAGATGTCCAGAAGTTGACCATAAATGTAACAGACTACAGAGTGTAATGATGATGAAAACGTGCTAGCTAATGAGAGAATGACTTACAGTTCACGCAACCTTCCAAGGTCTCCTAGTGATGAGGGAATCTCTCCGCTGAGTTGATTGTCTTCCATATGCCTTTAACAGAGAGTGCCATATAATAGATATAGTTTCATAAAAAGCTATAAGACAATTCTTTATGAATGCCCAAATACCAACTATTTAGGTTGCCAAATCAATCAAAGAGAAAAAAGCAAAAGAGAATTGTACACTTACAATATTTCTAGCAGCATTAATGAACTGAGATCAGGTATTACTCCCGATAAACTGTTATTACCGAGCCAACTGTTGGGGGCATGATAGATTCGATTAGAATGTTATTATATTTGAATTTCATTACTTGAAATTTAGTTCTACTAGCTTACATGCCACTCAGTGCAGTTAAATTAGCAATGCTTGGTGACAGTGATCCCGCAAGACCCATACTAGTCAGGTTCCTGAAAACAAGTGAAAATAAAATTAAGTCATTTGAGCAACAGTAATTGATGCATAGACAGCACATAACTGCATCTTAACTAACTCACAAAGCAATAACACGAATTCGTTCACCCTCAGAGCATGTAACCCCAGTCCATGAGTAATTAAGGGGCAAACAAGGATCACCGTTCCAATCAAGTGGATGGTTGTGCAGACTGTTTTTCATATCTTCTAAAGCTCTTGCTGCAACAGGAAATTGGGATCCTTTTTTAATGAAACACTTAAAAGTGAATGAGGAATTCAAACAGTAATAACTATTATTAGTTTATAGATAAATAAACGGGAAGGTACATAAGATAAGAATGTAAGCATCTAACTCCATTTTGACCTAAATGTTCGTTCTTGATCATTAAGGGTGCAGTTTAGCCAGCAACAGACAATCACAGAAAATCAGTTGGAGCATTTCTATGGAAAGAAATTCAATTTGATTTACACAACAGGAGGTAGAAATCACTAGCAACCATACCATCCCTTGTATGAGTTCTTCCTCCAAGGCGAAGCACATCAAAGATCTCCCCAGCATTGATCAAAGGACTATTTGAATTGGCAGCCGGACTCAATGTTATCTTTGTACGACCGCCAAGGGGCCACCTGGTTGCAAAGACAGCAGCTCCTTCTGAAGTCACATTCAAATTGCCATAATACCTTACATCATTAATGTGTATGTCTAGCACCCTCGAGCTTGATGACATTGGGTCACTATTATCCGCAAAATACAAAGCAATGTAATAATTCGAGTTTGGAATTGACAAAGGTGGCCATCTCAACTCCAGGGGCTCCGATTGGGCTGTGGAAAGTGCTCTTTCAAATACTTTTGAAGGGGGTACATTCCAGAACCCAGAAACAGGTGGAGTGTTATTGCTTGATATAACAGAAACATTTTCATCATATGGCTCCCAATATCGATCAAATTGATCATCAGGGTATCTAGTCATACCAAAAAAACACTCATATTCAGCAAAATCAGTGAAAGCATCTGCAACAAACAACTACAACTCCAAAATTCAAAATTTTTCAAAGTGAGAGAAACGAATATAACTCACTTTTTTCACTAGTTACAACTAAAATCAACAAAAAATAAATAACAAGCATACAATAAAAAGGCGCCTTCAAGAAACTGCTCAATTCGCAATTTCCTCCAAAAATTCCCTATAAATGACCAAGAAAAAGCAAAAACAGGGAAAAATTTAACTCGATGAAACTTCAACTTACCTAATAATGGATCCATTATGTCCAAAACTGTGCCTAGCAACCAAACTCAAAGCAAGAGAATCAAAATCCGTGGTATTATAAAGCGAATCCCCCAAAATCAGCATTTCCAAACTCGAAATAAAGGGGTCAGACTCCGTATACGTATTCGGAGCAATGCAAACACTCATTGTATTCCCTTTAGCTTTAAACACTCCTTCGTTATACGACGACAAGCCTTTTTGATAATCCTCAGTCGTGTTCACCACGCTCCAAAACGTGCCGTCCACTATCTGATCGAAAACGGGAGGCGAAGGAAAATTCAAGCCGTTGACTCCGCCGTAATAGTAAGTTGTCCTGATCAGGTATCTTGCGTCGCGGTAGACGCGCGCCACGTAGCAGAACTTGCGGCGGAGATTGTTTTGGAGAGGGAACGATCGGACGGTGGAGAGAGTTGGGACAAGGCCCGGGACTGTGAGGTTTATAGATCTTCCAGTGGATATGAAGTCGTCGTCGGGAAGCCATTCTCGCCCGTCGATCTCGGACTTCCCAGCTGCGCCGCAATCGATTAAATATCCTAAAAATTGAAAAAAGAAATGAAGTTTTGATTAGAGGAGGATAGAAATGGAAATATTTGAAAAGAGGGAGGAGAGGCAAGAGAAATGATTCGATTACCTTTTGGGGGCTGTTGGGAGAGGGAAAGGGAGAGCAAGGAGAGGAAAAGAGAGGTAAGGAAGAGGCCGAAGGGAGGGGACATGGTGGAGGAGGAAGGATTACGGACATGAAAGAGTTGAAGGAATTTTCAGATAAGGAGTGGAGTTGTTTTTCTTTGTTTGTTTGCGTTTTGAATTGAAGGTAGTTGAATCAGTCAGCAAGAAAGGAATAGGAGAGAGTGGGGTGGGGGGGGAAGGTGGAGTTTGAGAAGAGGAAAGGAATTTCTATTTGACGCGGGAAAACTTAGAGGGCCAGGTCAGACAGCGGCTCGTTCAGTGATTGGCTGTTACTTTTTGGTGGTTACTTACCGGTAACAAATAC